TCTAGTGTGGTAATTGTGTCTGTTCCTGGATCCAGAGGGGTGCAATTGGAACGTGAGATGGATATATGCGAAGGCTCTCTTGGCCAGAGTGGCTCCCACAAACAGTCACTCATGTCCCAATAGCCTCACAAATGGGTTACTGCATTGCGCTGTACATGAGGGCTGCCTTGGAAAACCACTTAGAACCTACAGCTGGTACAACTGTGTGGACAATAATGAGAACGTTATAATATGCCCAAGTGACACTATTGCTCTGTGAGCTGCACCGGTTACTAGTTGGCTTCCAGGTACAATTCAAGTTGCCAGTTAGCACCTATAAAACCCCTCGCGGCATTATCTAAGAGACCACCTATCTCTGATTGTTTCTGTCCATTCAGTAAAATCCAGCAGAGTGGGTGCATTTCGGGTCCCCTCAATTACACAATGTCCTCTATCAGGGCCTCAAAAGTGTGTCTTCTCTGCTGTGGTGCCTGCTCTCTGGAACAGTATTCCCCCAGAGAGTTGTATGGCTCCCACCCTGATGATGTTCTGAAAGGCACCAAAAACCTGGCTATTCTCCCAGGCCTTGAGGAAGGATGGTTGATAAGCCCCTATAAGATTCTGTTTTGTTAAATTTTGTTCTGTTTTGTATGGTTTTTCTAGACTCCTATCATCTGCTTCTTTATTTTATTGCTCAGGCTTTTTATTAGGTAACATGCTCTGAGTCATTTAGGGTTGGGCACTCTTTAAATCAATTGAATAAATAAATAGGCTGTTTTTAAAATCCTTTAGGGTTGCAGATAGGTGCAACATTCACATTCCCACACACAATGAAGAATCTTTCAGGAATCAAACCTGAAGCACTGTACAAAATTCCTACTAATTAATACAGGTAATTTGGATGACAACTATGGAGTGATTTTTTATTATTAAAATTAATTAGTATATCTCTTTTAGTTGAATAAGCCAGCCAACCAATTAAAACATGTTTAATAATATCTTCCTCAACTTGAATTCAACTTTTGGTGACTGTATAAATAATTCCATGTGGTTTTCTTAACAACAATATGGAAACTGTTTGCCACTGTCTTCTTCCAGGATGTTTTTCTGACTTTCTAATCTAGCCATCAGCCTTGGGATTTCTTGGTGCTCTCCCATCCACCCTTGAGATCAGCCAAGGTTGACTAGGTGCTGCCACATACTGAGAACAAACATGTTAAGTAATCACACATTTTCAAAGAAAGGTTCTTTTTGAGAATTGTGCAGAAAAAAGATCACTTTTGAGAAATTTTGAAATATAAACTGGTCACTTGCCAGTAACACACTAGCACCAAAGAGCAAATTCAATAAATGTGATATGAAACATCTATGTTCGAAAGAGATGACTCTTTCATCTGGGATCCAACTTAATCCAGTATACTATCACCAACAGTGGTTAGCCAAAAGGTTCTGGAGAGCTCACTGGCAAGGTCTTTTGCTCTTGATCGTCTTTTGCTCTTGTCCCATAGCACTGTATTCAGAGATACACTGCTTCTGAATATGAACATTCAATTTAGCTACTGTAGGTTATAGTAACTGATAGCCCTATTCTGCCTTAGAAGAATCAAGATATAGCAGGGTTGAGAACACAAATGGTCCATCTCAAGCTTCAACATTCTTGCCTACTTTCCCAATCTGCAAAGACTAAAACGTATGCATCACTGTCAGACACAAGGTCAAATTCTGTATTAAAGACTGTCAAGCACAGGAGGGCATAAGCTTTCAAGGGCTAAATGGCCTCCAAACTACTAACCTTTTGTTCCACTAAACCTCCTATAAGAGTAGCAGTATTAAGTCCACTGTAGCAAAAGCAACAAAAGAGCCTTGTAGGATCTTAAAAACTGATACATCACTGCATAAGCTTAAGGAGCTGTAAGATTCTTTGTTGCCTTTGCTGGAACAGAAAATAATAATCCCTCTGGAAACTCGAAGAGCAGACATGTCAGCTACATCCATTAATTCGGCAATTAACCTGGAATTCACACTGGAATGAATACAAGCAATTTTATCTTCAAAGTATCATGCAAATTGGTCATAGTAAGCTACTAAAAGGTCATCCCTCATAAATAAAGGAACTAAGATGGAATAGCTCCCTTCATCATTGTGGAGTCCTTGGAGTTCTCTGAGCTTGATTGTTTTCTTGCAAACATTTCATTACCCGGCTAGGTAACATCTTCAGTGCTAGAATGGAATGGGGTTTGTTCTCTGTTTATATACCGGGGCCCGGGCGATTAAAAAAAAAAGAAAAAAAAAACCCCCACCCCCCACTCCCAACAGAGGTAATTCCGCCGCCGAACAA